CCCAAAGGCCACGCAGCGACTGGAGTGTACAGTTATTTTCCCCCCTCTGGGCGAACTGCGGCGCAGCGCCAGCCAGGTGGAAGTTGGTCACTGCGGCGCCCATGATTACAGCCGGCGATGGAAGGGAAGATGGAGGGGGTGCATGAAAAGGAAGAAAGAAAGGCCCCAAATAAGTCCCCAAGGCCAGAAGAAACTCTCAGGAGGCCTCCGGGAGGCCCCCCTGAGGCTCCCAAGAGGCCCCGCGACGACGTGACTGTACGTGCTCCGGACGTGCACCCCGCGAAGCGAAAGGAATCTTCAAAAATACGCAAAGAACCGTCCCCCCTGGGAGCCGCGCCGCAGGAACGGACCAAAATGATCGGCCCTACTTCCGGGGGTCCAAACCTACAAAAACCTATGACAAATCAACAAATTCGACCTCTTGGGCCTCTGGAGACTCCAAGAGGGCCTCAAGATGGCCCACGATGGCCCCAAGACGGCCCAAGATATTCCCAACGGGGGCCCATAAGGCTCCCAAAACGGCCCCCAAACGGCCCCCAAAACCCCAAGGACGGCCCAAGAGGGCCCCAAGAGCGCCCACAACTGCGCCTCCAGAGGCCGAAACCATTGATTTTCGGATGGTTGTTGGTAACGTTTTAACGTTCTCGCCTTGTTCGACTCTCAAAAAACCCATAACGGCCCAAGCAGCTTCTAGAACCGCCCCAGAACATCAAAAACAAAAACCCAAGAAGGCACCAAGACGGCCCCCAAGAAACCTCCAAGAAGTCCCCCATAAGCCCCCCAAAGGCCCCCAACAAACCCCCCCAAAGGCCACGCAGCGACTGGAGTGTACAGTTATTTCCCCCCTTCTGGGCGAACTGCGGCGCAGCGCCAGCCAGGTGGAAATTGGTCACTGCGGCGCCCATAATTAGAGCCGGCGCTGGAAGGGAAGATGGAGAGGGTGCATGAAAAGGAAGGAAAGGGGAAAGGCCCCAAAGAAGTCCCCAAGGCCAAAAGAAACTCTCAGGAGGCCTCCGGGAGGCCCCCCAGAGGCTCCCAAGAGGCCCCGCGACGACGTGACTGTACGTGCTCCGGACGTGCACCCCGCGAAGCGAGAGGAATCTTCAAAAGTACGCAAAGAATCGTCCCCCCTGGGAGCCGCGCCGCAGGAACGGACCAAAATGATCGGCCCTACTTCCGGGGACCCAAACCTACAAAAACCTATGACAAATCAACAAATTCGACCTCTTGGGCCTCTGGGGACTCCAAGAGGGCCTCAAGATGGTCCATGATGGCCCCAAGACGGCCCAAGATATTCCCAACGGGGGCCCATAAGGCTCCCAAAACGGCCCCCAAACGGCCCCCAAAGCCCCAAGGACGGCCCAAGAGGGCCCCAAGAGCGCCCACAACTGCGCCTCCAGAGGCCGAAACCATTGATTTTCGGATGGTTTTTGGTAACGTTTTAACGTTCTCGCCTTGTTCGACTCTCAAAAACCCATAACGGCCCAAGCATCTTCTAGAACCGCCCCAGAACATCAAAAACAAAAACCCAAGAACGCACCAAGACGGCCCAAGAGGGCCTCAAAACGGCCCAATAGGACCCCAAGAGGGCTCCAATGCGGCCGCGAGAGGCCCCCGAGACAGCCAGCCTCCGAGTGGGCGAAACGGCGCAAAAGCGCCCCAAGACGGCCCAAAACGCCCCGAAGAGGCCCAGGCCCCAAAGAAGCCTCCAAGAAGTCCCCCAGAAGCCTCCAAAAGGCCCCCACAAAGCCCCCCAAAGACCACGCAGCGACTGGAGTGTAATATTATTCCCCCCTCTGGGCGAACTGCGGCGCAGCGCCAGCCAGGTGGAAATTGGTCACTGCGGCGCCCATAATTAGAGCCGGCGCTGGAAGGGAAGATGGAGAGGGTGCATGAAAAGGAAGGAAGGGGGAAAGGCCCCAAAGACGCCCCCAAGAGGCCAAAAGAAACTCCCAGAAGGCCTCCAGGAGGCCCCCCAGAGGCTCCCAAGAGGCCCCGCGACGACGTGACTGTACGTGCTCCGGACGTGCACCTCGCGAAGCGAGAGGAATCTTCAAAAGTACGCAAAAAATCGTCCCCCGACTACTTGTTTGACTATTTTTCAACACTCCCCCTGTAGAGGGACATGCCCGACTTCATGCAAGACCCTGCGCTCTGGCTGACCCCCGCTTACAGGGACCCCCCGCTCCTAGCTCCGACTGGGATAGGTTTTTCTGCTGACCCGGGTCAATCCAGACCCCGGTCAACAGGGAACCAAAAACTGCAATGCAGGAAAAAAAAACACTGCAACGCAGGTCTTCGCAAACACGGGTCAGCCAGTATGCGCGGCCGCCTCGCGGACACGAGCGGCTCGCTGAAGCCAGAGGGGGTCTTCGCAGGATCCTGCAGGATCTGGTGCCCTGGCTGACCCCCGTTTGCATTGACCCCCGTCTCAAGGCTCCCGATGGGAGCACCCTGGCCAAGCCCCGGGGGCCTCCCGCGGCCTGCGCGGCTCCTCATTTTGGAGTCCGGAGGGCGGTGCGGTGACGGAGCCGTGCGGTGACCGCGGAATCTCTCAAGACCTCGCCGCACGGCCCGCCAGCGCACGGACTTCGGACCTCGGAGGCCTCCGTCGCCCGAGCCGTCCTCTGAGCATGGCCCGAGTTCCAGAAACCGTGCGGTGACCCCGAAGCCCCAACGACTCACCGCACGGCGTGGTCACCACCGCGTTTGGGGGCCCTCGATCCTCAGCCGACCTCGGCATTCCCTCCCCCGGGAAACGCCCGCACCCCTCGGGACGATGCACGGCATGCCCTTCGGAAGGCTCGCACGGCGAGGCGCGGCTGCCGGAGAGAACCTCCCGAGGCTGGGAAGCCGCCGCCAGAGAGAACCGCAGAGATGCTCAAAGGGGCCCAGGGAGACGCCACGAAAGAGGCACAGATTCAAGGTGACCCACGCCCCCTACGGTAGGTTCATGCGGCGTCGGCGCACGCAAAGGTTCTTGACACCGCGTCGATCGCTCAACCTTGATCGATCGCGGCCCCGATCCTTCAAGGTTGAATTCCGTCGGGTCCTGTAGCGTTGCCGTGCCCCTTCGTGCTTCCGCGTCGCAGAATTCAACCTTGAACGCCTTCGCCAGCGTCGCCGGCGCGCCAACACAACACGAAACTACCGTATATTACATTGTGTTCGGGACTCTCGTTTTCCCTTCCGTTTCTCTTATGCTCCACTGTCAACCTGGGAATCTACATTTCGTCTGTCTGTCCATGTTCCCCTGCGGAATACTGATACATCCTCCAGAGTGGCCGCCCTCCCGGCCACGAGGCCTCCAGAAGCCTCTCAACAGGCAGGAGAGCCCAGAATCGAATCGATAAGTCGGATCGGCTATCGATATGGATCGAATCGTCGGAAATCGGCAGCCGAGTCGGGAAACGTCGAATCGGCGGAAATCGGCGGGATAGTATGCGTCCAATAAGAAATCGGAACACACATCGGAGTCCTAAATTGAATCGAATCGGAATCGGAAGCAATCGGAATCGAATCGAATCGAGTCGAATCAAGGAGTCGGAGTAAGCCCTGAACAGGCCCTGAGCACCAGGAGTCGAAATGGGCCCCGTCCGCCCGACTACGGGGGCCCAACGTCGTGTTGTGACGGTCCCGAGGCCCGGCCGAGGGCCCCGAAAGGCTGGAACCGATCAAAAACCTCCCGTCGTACTTTTTTCCGAGACGCCCGATGTCTGGGACTCGGAATAATTGCCCAGCTCCATCCGCCAGAGCTGCCGCCCGCCCGGCCAGCGGGGACGCACTGGCCCGGGTCAATGCAAACCCGGGTCAGTCGGGCTTTGCATGCTCATGCGACACCCTGCAGGATCCTGCGTGCTAGCCCGGGTCAATGCAAGCCTGGCTCTGCAGGATCCTGCAAGACCCGGCGCTCTGGCTGACCCCCGTGTGCACTGACCCCCGTCTCACCGCGCCAGGTGGTTTTCGGGCCATAACTCGACTCTCAGGTGGCCGTCGGGTGCGATTCGGGCGCCCCGGGAACGCCATTGCCGATGCGCAGATGTTGGAGAGCACCCAGAGGCTGGAAAACCGTCGAGAACCTGCGCCCGAAAACCTCAAACCCCTGCCTCGAACCCCGAAAACCTCGATCCCCTCCCCGGCTGAGTCTAGGCTCCCGAGCGACCCTACAGTGGAAACACATGCCGAGAAACACCCTGCTTGCCCCCAGGGTGCCCTGGGTTTCTTCGTGGGTTTCGATGGCTTTGCCATAGCAAGCGTGACGCTCCCACACCAAAAACCAATGGACGTCCTGGGGTCTCAGGGTTGGGTTTCTTGTGGAAGGTTCCTTCTGAGCAGGGACCGGCCGTCCCGGCGTTCCTATAGGCCTACCACGACATGTTCTTCGAACCCCAAACATGTTCAAATATTCTAAGAACAAAACAGTATTCTTAGAACGTAGACATGATGTGCTGAAACAGGACAGTCCCGCCGAGAAATGTTCTGAGGACATTTCCTGGAGACCCCCAAGGTTCTTAGAACATTATTTGGTGGGCCTGATGGCGAGCCAGGACGCGTCGCCACTGCTTGATGTACAGTCAACCCGTATAGTTGCGAGGGCCTTGGACGCCCATTTCGAAGCTCTTCGAGCGGGACGCGGCAAGCGAAAGCGGCGAAGGATGGACCGAGGAGGCGAGGATGCAAGGATACCCTCGGGAACGCTGCCCATCCTTACTATCATGGTTGACTGTAGGGCCTCCCGCGTCGGGGATCTTCTGACCCGGGTCAATACAGACCCGGGTCAGCGGGAAACCAAAAACTGCAATGCAGGAAAAAAAACTGCAACGCAGGTCTTCGCAAACCCGGGTCAGCCAATACGCGCGGCCGCCTCGCGGCCACGAGCGGCTCGCTAACCCGGGTCAGCCAGAGGGGGTCTTTGCAGGATCCTGCAGGATCTGGCGCTCTGGCTGACCCCCGTTTGCGCTGACCCCCGTCTCGAGGCTCCCGACCGCGGTCGGCGGCTCCTCGCCCGGCTTCAGAACCCGCGGCAGGCACGCCGCCACGCGGCGGCCCGCCGCCCTCGCGGCCTCCACGGCCTCCTCCAGGCCCTGGGCCTCTCTCGCGGCGCGCGCGGCGCTCCTGCTCCTCCTCCGCCTCCTCCTTCCAGGTACCCCCTCCTCACCTGCCTCCCTCCTTCTTCCTCCCCCTCCCTGCTCCTTACCACATCCTCAAACTCCCTCCTCCTCCTCCTCCTCCTCCTCCTCCTCCTCCTCCTCCTCCTGCTCCACCTCCTCCTCCTGCTCAAACTCCCTCCTCCTCCTCCTCCTCCTCCTCCTCCTTCTCCCTCACCCTCCTGCTCCTCCCTCTCCTCCCTCCAACTCAACCCTCGCCTCCCTCCTGCTCCATCTCCTCCTCCCGCCTCCTTCCCCTCCTCCTTGTCCTCCTTCCCTTGATCCCTCCGTCCTTCTTTCCTCCAGCCTCCCAGTTCCGTCTTTCCTCCTCCTCCCTCTCCTCCTCCTCCTCCTCCTCCTCTCCTCCTCCTCCTCCTCCTCCTCCTCCTCCTCCTCATCCTCCTCATCATCATCATCATCATCATCATCATCATCATTCTCCTCCTCCGCCTCCTCTTCCCTCCTCCCTCCTCCTCCTCCTCGCCCTCCTCCTCCTCCTCCTCCTCCTCCTTTTCCTCTTAGTCCTCATCCTTCTCATCCCTCCTGCTCCTCCTTCTCCTCCAGCCTGCTCCACCTCATTTTCCCTCCATCTTCTCCTCCTTATTGTATCTCTCTATTCCACCTCCTAATACCCTCTTTTCCTACATCATCCTCCTTCTCCTCGCCCTCCCCCCTTCGCAATTATCCTCCTCCTTCCTCCTCATCTTCCTCGATCCTCCTCCTTTTTGCGCCGGACAGACTCTGAGCGACTGAGCTCGCAAACCTCCCCGTCCTCCTCCTCGTCCTCGTTCTCCTCCTCCTCCACCTCATATTTGTCCTCCTCCTCTGTTTCCTCCTACTCTTTTCCCTCCTCTTTTCCCACCTCCTCCTCCTCCTCCGCCTCCTCCTCCAACTCCTCCTCCTCCTCCTCCTCCTCCTCCTCCTCCTCCTCCTCCTCCTCCTCCCCCTCCCCCTCCCCCTCCCCCCCCTCTCCCCCCTTCCACCTCCTGCTCCTGCCTCCGCTTCCCCCTCCCTCCTCCACCTCCCGCTGCTTCTCCTCCTCTGGCGCCGGGCGGAGCGCCCGCGGAGGCCGCTCGCCGCCTCCCCAGGCCTGCGACCACGGGATCCTCGGGCTCGCAGCCCGAGGAGTTCGGGCGGCCTCGTGGGTTCTACAGCGATTGTCCTCCTCCTCCTCCTCCTCCTCCTCGTCCTCCTCCTCCTCCTCCTACTTCTCCTCCTCCTCCTCCTCCTCCTCCTACTTCTCCTCCTTCTCCTCCTCCTCCTCCTCCTCCTCCTCCTCCTGGCGCCGGGCGGGGCGCCCGCGGGGCGACCACAAGATCATCGGGTTCGCAGCCCGGGGATTCCGGGCGGTCTCGTGGGTTCTGCAGCGATTATCAGGCCTCGGGATTTTTTGTTTCTGTCCCAGGCTGGGGAAAGTCGGGGACGCAGCCTCAGACTTAGCTGCCTGTATGTTCTTCCCCCCTCCTCTTCCTCCTCCTCTCTTCTCCCTCCCACTCCTTGGTCTCTTTGAGGGATCTCACTAGCCGTGTGTTGCTCTCCGCCGTCGGCACTCAATCATAGGGTTGGCTGCCACGGGAGTGTGGTCGCCAGATCGCCACCCGAGGCCCTGAGCACCGGCGGGGTTCCAGAGAATTTCAGGCCTCGGGATGCTTTACGGCGGTGGTCAAGCCGCGGGATGCTCTCTGGCAAACGCCCCTCGTCGAGTGCGTTCCGGACGCGCCAAGATCGACTCGTCAAAGTTGGGCCTCTGAGGGCCGTCCACCAGGCCTCGGTGCCGTCCAAAAAACGACCTACAGTCGGGCTGCTGTAAGGAATTCAAACGAAGGAATCAAGCAGCACATTCATGCCACCAAAAGAGCCCAAGTGCACGAGGAGAGCTGAAGGAACAACCACGGCATGCCCTGAAGAACAGCGAGTCCGAACCAAAGACGATCCTTGTTTCAGCGTCTTGGCTGTGGACCGGTCCCAGAAAAGCGGGCCAATCCTCGGGGGTTCCACGCTGTGGCACAAAGCACGGAGTCAGAGTTTCGAGCCGTGTGCGCGGTTCTAGAACGCGAAGGGCAAAATTTGAAGGAGGGGAACGAGGAGGGAGGTAAGAGGAGGGTAACGAAGAAGGCGACGACGAGCAAGAACACAGGAGGCAAACTGGATCGCTGACCAGGCATGCAAGTTTACGATCGGGCTGGCTGCCATGAAACAGCCCTTCGAAACTATGAGGGGTCTGTGGCTGCGGGATGACAGCCGAAGGCCCTGTCGATCACACCCGCTGATTGTAAAACCCACGAGTGGCACCTACAACCCTGCCAGGCCCTCGTCGTCGTCCGTTTCCCCTCCAGCCAGCATCCTGCACTACCTCGGGGCCCTTGTTGTTATGTTGCATCCTTGGGGGACCTTGTCTGTCCCATCGCGGCCCTATCCTCGTCGAATCCGCGTCGAATCCATGTTGGACTCGTCGGATCCGTGTCGAATCCGTGTCGAGCCCGCGTCGTATCCACGCAACATTCGCGTCGAGCCCGCATCGAGCCCGCGCCGGGTCCAAGAAAATGCACAATTTTTGCGGACAGGCGAGGTCCCCAAAATATGCAACATAATCTTCGCATGCATGGGCAAACCAACGGGACAAACAAAAAAAACAACACATCGCCTGGAAAACGGGGTCATGCTCTGGGTGCTTGTCTTTCCCGTGCTGGGAACACCCAGGGGCTCGTGTTAAGTCGGGCATCTCCCTCTACATGGGGGAAGATTCAGAAATGGCCAACAAAAAAGCATGGGGAAGATGTTTGGCGTATTTTTGACCATTATTAAACTATGGTTTGATTGTGTTATATTTGTCGTCCAACATCCGCCTGTAGCATGCCCGACCTAAGGCTTGTGCGCGCAAGCCCGTGCCTCCAGGAAGTCGAGCTGCAGCTCGTGCACCAGCCCCTCCTCAAGCTGCAGCGCCGCCTCTGCCTGGCAGAGCCCACCGTCTGTCACCGAACCTCTTGACAATGTTCTCTCTCTTGAGCTCCGCTCTGTCTGTCGCTCACACACACACACACACACACTTTTTGCGTCGGCGGCTGAGCAGACGGTGACTGCTCCAGCGGATTGGCAGCAGGGGACACGCTGTATGCAAAGTAAGGCCGCCATGCACGGAGGAAGAGGAAGAGCCCCGGCGCGACAGGAACAAAAGGAAGCCGGGCCCACTCAGAGTCGCCGGCTGCGATCCACACACAAACACACACACAAACACCCACAAACACGCATACACGTACATACGCACGCGCTCACGTACACGCAAGCGCACGCACCCACGCACGCACACACACACACACACATATCTAGGTGTATATATATATATATATATGTATATATATATATAGGTACACACACACATATATATATATATATATATATATATATATATAGATACTCACACATGTGTAAGAATTCCCCTTCAAGGAGCGCACGTTTGCGGCCCACCCGCTGTGCGGAAGCACGTTTTTGGGCGTCGCAGGCGCGACCGACGCGACGTGGTGGAGACAGGCAGTCAGGGTGAGGTCAAAGCGCGCCAGACCCTCACGACTCATGCGGCCACTGGGCGGGGTGAAACATAGAGAACCAACCAAAATACCGTTCGTCCTCCAGCAACGTGACGGCAACGTCGCGAATGATAGAAGAGGGCGCTGAATGACGTAATGAAATGGCACCCAGCACTGTGGATGGCAAGCGGTGCTGGCGTGCAGGACTGCTTAGAGCCCGAGATGTGGAAAATATACAAAAACAACACCAATCAGCCAGCGCACTTTTTCATTCACCGGCCGCTGAGGCGGAGCACGCTTAGCGTCAATTCCACCCGACGTTGCACATGGGAACTCCGCTGGGCGAGTCGCGTGCACAACAAGAGTAGTGGTAGTTGCGTCAGACGAACATGTGCGCAACACGCACAGACATACGGCAGGTTCGTTTGGTGCCGACCCCAGCGTTGGTTCCTAACACTGCGGGGATCGTGCAACCTTCAACGATCGGCCATTCCCGAAACGTCGGATCGTTCACCATCGACCGATTCTGGATCGCTCGCGGTGTTCATAGTTAGTTAAACGCCGGCGACGCGGTCACCGCCGGTCGACACGACGCGAACCTACTGTCCTCGCGAACACACCCGCTCACACGACGGGACAGACGGACCGGACGCGCGCCGAGCGCGCTGGTGTCTGAGCACGCCGCGCTGGCCGGCAAAGCTCGGGGGCGCTCTCCTCCCCCCCTGGGCGCCAACACTCCCCGCGGCTGAGCCTGGCATCCCGGGTCGCCTTGGTCGGGCCCTACAACTCGCAGAAGGTTGGGACAGGGCCGATTCGGGAAGAAGCTCGGGGCTGACGTCCCATGATCTAGACGCCATCTGGGGTGCGCCGATGGTCTATAATTAGGTCGGGCCTGTCCTCCTACAGGGGAATTTTGGACGAAAAATAAAACATAGTCAAACAATTGGCGAACAAAAAATGCTCAACTAATCCTCCCCAGACTATTTTTATTATTTCTGGATATTCCTCCTGTAGAGGGACATGCCCGACGTAAGTCTATAATGACTTCAGGGTGTTCAGAGCCTGCGGAATGCAGTCTCCTCTCATCGCGCTCGCTGGTTTCGACCGCGGTGCCTAGACCCACGACGATCTACAGTGCCTTCACTTAGGTCGGGCACGTCCCCCTACAGGGGGATTTTGGACGAAACAATCAAAAATAGTTGGAGAATGCGCAACAATGCCCAAAACTAGTCAAACATCGTCCCCCGACTATTTTTGGACTATTATTGAATTTTCCTCCTGTAGAGGGACAAGCCCGACTCAAGCCTTCACGGGGGGCGCGGACTTGTTGCAGGGGCCGCTTCGTGTGTGCACGACGATACGCTGCGGGCGAAGTGATGATCTGGTCCGGGGTGGGTGGGCCAGAACGCGCTCGTCTGTCTCTCCCTCCTCCTCCTCCTCCTCCTCCTCCTCCTCCTCCTCCTCCTCCTCCTCCTCCTTGCTCTGGGCTAGAATACAACTGGCCACACCCCTCAGCGCTGCCACAAATCCTTCCTCCCAGTGCAGGAAACCGTCGGGCCACCCAACCGCCCGACAAGAAAACGGAACACATGGGCACGATGACAAACAGCAAGGCTGTGCAAAACCGGGCACGACGCCGCTGGGCAGTAATCCGTTTGCCACAAGCGCACAGAGTCCACGGCGGCTCCGACGGTGAATCTTGCTCAGGATGGTCAGGGAGCTCGATCGATGTCGTCCTCATCCTTTTCCATGCATATTTCTACCGCCACGAACCGATATCCAAAAACCGCAGGGCCGTTCGGCTCGCGGATTCGTTGGGTTTTAGCCATTCCATGAAGATGCTCCCGTTGTTCGGGGGCACCACATCGCAGCAGGTTCGAAGCGCCAACCTGCAGGCCATACTCCCATCTACGAGCCCAACGAACGCAGCAAAAATTAATCCGACCGTTCCTCTAGGCGTGAGTGGTTTAGAGCGTTTCTTGCTCATCTCCCCTTCTTCCCCTTCGGGGAGGGGTTGTATACCTCCCCTCCCCCCTCCCCCTGGGTCTGTAGGGAGGGGTCGCGATGGTTTAGAGCGTCCAATGTGGTCTCGGCGAGGAAGCCAGAATCAGTGATTGCACTAAGAGGTTGGCCAGTCCCGAGGCTCATATGGGGTGCCCCAAAACGGCCCCGAGAGGTGCCTAGGAGGCCCCAAGAGGCCTCCACGAGGCTCCCAAGATGCCCCAACGAGGCTCCCAAGAGACCCCCATGGCGCCCCCAGAGGGCCCCCAGAGGCACCCAAGACGCCCCAAGAAGCCTCGGCGAGAAGGCCAACATCACTGCTTGTACGAAGGTGTTGGCCACATTAGGGCCTTCTGGGGGCGGGCTACTTAAGGAGCCCCCCATCCTTTGACCGGCATCTTCCAAACTTGCCCCAAGATGGCCACCGAGGCTCCCAAGGGATTCCCGCAAGAGGGGCTCCCAAGAGACCCCCGTGGCGCCCCCAGAGGCCTCTTGAGGCACCCAAGACGCTTTAAGAGGCATCGGCGAGAAGGCCAACATCAGTGTGTTTTGTATACTAAGGTGGTGGCCACAGTTTGGCCTCCGGGGGGGGGGCCTAATGTAGTACGGCTCCTGCTTTGATCGATCTCCCCCCAAATGGCCCCAGTATGGCCCAAAGATGGCCGCCGGGGCTCCAAGTGGTGCCCCAAGACGGCGCCAAGAGGTGTCCAGGAGGCCCTAGAGGCCACCACGAGGCCCCCAAGGTGCCCCCAAGGGGTTGCCAAGGGACCTCCAGGAGGCCCCAAGAGGCTCCCCAGAGGCACCCAAGACGCCTTACTTCACGACTGCCAATAGACCCCCAAGGCACCCCAAGAGATCTCCAAGAAGCTGGGAATAAATCCGAAGAGACTCCGAGAGGCATCCAAGAGGCTTCTGGCCTTTCTGCTCGCCCTCCTCCTCCTCCTCCTCCTCCTCCTCCTCGTCCTCTTCCTCATCAGTCTAGTTATTCCTCCTCCTTCCTCCTCCCTCTTCCCCTCCCCATCTCCCTACTCCTCTTCCTCCTCCTCCTTTCTCCTTTCTCCCCCTCCTGCTCCTCCCTCCTCCCCCTCTTGGGGGGTCGGACGTCCGACCCAGCACTTCACTCCACTGCGAGCTCCTCCACGTCCCTGCTCGGGGCAGCTCGTCCGGGCATCGCTCCTGGATGGGTCGGTGGGGCTATGCCAAGCGTCCGGCACTTCTTTGTTAGCTCCTCCTCCGGATCCTCCTCCGACGCGATGTTTTTCGTTGGCCAGGCAGCGCACTCGCTGCCCCTGGCCCCCGGAGGGGTCGGGCTCTGGAAGAGGCGCAGCGGCGCCAGAGAGAGAGAGAGAGAGAAGAAGTGGGTGGGAGGGTGGGACAAGCGGTCCCTGTGACCCACGCGGCTGCGGAGAGGAACAAATACGGAAGGCACGGCCTGCAGTGCAACGCGATGCAGGCAAACGCGGAGGGGGGAGGCAAGGAGACTAACTACGCTTCACATTCGTGAATCCGCGTTTGACGAGGAGGGGTGTGGAGCGCGACCATCCCTTCTCGACTCAAAGGTGCGTGCCAACAAACAGAACGCCCACTGGACGAGAGCGTCCAACGCTGCCGTGCACGGGGCGCGGGAAGAGGATGAGAGACGAGGGGCAGGAGGAGGACGCGAAGGAGGGAGAAGAGTACCAACTGCGCCCGCAGGTCCGGCAATCATGCCCGAGACGGATGGTCCAACACGGGACGCACAGAGACATACTAATACTCCATGTCCTCCTTGGAGACGCGCGTCCGACCCGAACATGTAGTATACCCATATTGTAGTATATCGTTTCCCGAGAGGCGTGGCAGGAAGGCACCCGCCATGACGCATATACCAGAAGATTTCTCGGTGCGCGCGTCGCCCCTGGGGGGACGAACCACATATATAGTAGAAGTATGTTGGGGTGACGCCGCCTACAAGTCCGTCAAGCCATGCACCTGCTGAGCGCAACTTTTATCCGGGAGACGTAAGCCTCGTTTGGGGTACTCGGGCTGGCCTGACGCGATGAGCAATGGAAGGACATCTAACCCTTGGGGAGGGGACCCCAGTGAGGAGCGCCAGGAAACTCAGGGATAAAGGGTTTTTTTCTGCAGAAGTATCGGACCATACGGCTCAGGCTCATGATTCCCAATGCAATGACGGGGTCCTTAGAGAGGCTACGCCCTCCTCGTGTTGTTAGGATCACGGGTTAATTTTATCTTCGATGATCAAGGGGCCGTCGAGGCAAGATGGACCAGTCCAAAAAGCCTCGGCAGACCCGAGTCTTAGTTCGGAGGCCGAATGTGTACGGAACTAAATGGGCACAATGCCGAACATCACATGTTGTAAAACACCAACAGCGGCCGCTGTTGGGCAGGCGGCTGTTTGTCTTGTCCGCGGCGGCGAGGACAGCGAATCGAACAGGAACTGCTGTTGGGCATTGTACACATTCTCTCCGTACCCATTTCGATCGTTCTCCCGATTTTCGAACATGGACAGGTACCCCTTTAGCAAAACGTGGTTTAGTGAAAACGGCCTCGGGCCCGAATCTGGTGGGCGCAAGCCTGGAAAATTGACGGCCGCGGCGCCCTCTCGAGAACCGACAACGGACAATTCACTAATCGACGTGTCAGGGTGGGGGTTCTGTTAGGTCGGGCATGCCCCCCTACAGGCGGATCTTAGACGAAAAATTAACAATAGGAGAAAAATGTTCAAACATACAAACAATAAGAAAAACTCGTCCCCAAACTATTTTTTACTATTTTTGAATTTTCCTCCTGTAGAGGGACGTGCCCGACTCAAGGGTTATGTCCGCCCCCGAGCTTCTTGGACCACTCCTCCACTAGAGGGACGTGCCCGACTTCAGGGTTCTGTCCACCCCCGAACTTTTTGGGCCGCTCCTCCATCGCCGGGGCCGCCCGGCCGCGCGCCTGCGCCCTGGTGCGGCAGAGCAAGGTCAGCCTCGGCGGGGGCCGGGTGCCCGCGGGCGCCGGCGCGGGATCGGCCGCCTGGCTCGGGCGCGCGGGGGGTCCCACCCAGGCGGCTGGGAGAGCACCAACTCCTGCTGCTGCTGCTCATCAGCATCAGCATCAACAAAATCGTCATTATCATCAGCATCAGCATCATCACCATCACCATCACCACAATCATCATCACCAACACCATCACCAGCACCACCACCATCATTATCAACATCATCATCACCACAATCATCACGATCGTCGTCATCATCACCCTCCTCCTCATCATCCTCCTTCCCATGATCATCAACATCATCTTCAACAATGGCAATGACCAAATCTGAACACGGACATGTCTGTGTGAATCTTGGTCATCGTGAATGTCGGTCACCATCGATCCGTGTAAAATCCTTGCGAATCGGCGACGGCCAGCATGGACCATGACCAAGACTGGCGTCGGCAAGGTCTCGCGAAAACTTGGTCATGGTCAGCGTGTGGATGCGGGCCTTCACGAGTGCGCGCTCTGGTGTCGACGTGGCGCACCCCTCCACCTTTCCCTTCCACTCATCCTCACCCTTCGCCTCCTCCTCCCCCCTCTCCAGAAAGCTTTGGAGCGATTGATTCTCATAGTGGGCCTGCCTGGCTGAACCCTGGCGCGCGTCAACAGTCGCCGCCCGACCTGATACCGAGAAGATGGGGTCGTGGAGTCGCCGACGCATCCACGACCTTTCGATACCACGCGACGCAGCCTTCCTCCTCTTCCCCTCATCCTCCTCCCCCTCTCCCCATCACCCTCCCGCGCGCCCTTCTTCTCCACCTCCTCCTCCTCCTCCTCCTTCTCCTCCTCCTCCCCCTCCCTCACTGAGACGCTCTGAAGCTGTTGATCCTCATCGTGGGTCTGTCTTATTCAGCCCTGGCGGATATCCACGGTGGCGGTTGGAGCGATCTGACAAAAATGGGGTCGCTGAATCGTCGACGCATTCCAGACGAATCGGCGATGTAACATCCTAGGCCGCTTAACTTCGCACATCGCGCAGATACAGGTGCGAGGAGCGACTATCTGCGCGCCTGCGCGACGTGCTCTTGGAGAAGGGCAACCGCTCTGGACCAAACCGCGACGCGGTCAACGCGATTATCGTCGCGCTCGCGCGGGTGAACTAGGGAGCGCGCCGAATCGCCGATGCGGCGCGATCGAATGAACCCTATCGCAACTGGACCACTTCGGGCGCCCTGCCATTGACTTGCGCACGCGCTGTTTCACCGAATCTTTTATTGAAACCATACTATTTGGCTACATGGGCGCTTCTCCGCACCGGCTGCACCCCCCAAGGCCGACCCCGGCACCCCAGCGGTGATCACCTGCGCGTGGTGCACCATTGCGAGTGCCGCGCGCAGGTCATCGACGCTGCTGGGATCGGGGTCGGCCTCGGGGTCAGGAGTCAACTTCTGGGACGCCTTCTTTGTCGGAGCGAGCCAACGAAAACCACATCACCCTAATAATCACACACTGAGGGGGAAAAAAGGCGGGGTCCAGGAAGGGTAATGAACAATTGCCCCAGCAACTCGCACGTAGGGTGTTTTTCTTGTTTTTTGTTGCACGGTGTACGGATGTGCGGAGTAAAGTGGTTGTAATGCTAGTAGTACTGTGCGCATGTACGGTGTACGGATGTACGGGGTTCAGAAATAGCGGTTTCGGACCTTTCAGATTCGTGTAGCAAAAAAATCAGGAAGGTTGTTAAGTCCTCGCGTGGGGGAACTCATCTCGGGGATTTCCCGACGATTGCAGGCCCCGTGGACAAAACAAAAGTTCGCACGTTGGGAGTGCGAGCGCTGGTGGTGATCGAGAGAGTTCTCGGTAGTAGCGGTTGTAGGTGTCGTATTAGTAATAGTCGTAGTGGAAGATGCAGTAGTAGTTGTAGTAGTGATAGTAGTAACAATAGTAGTAGTAGTAGTAGTAGTAGTAGTAGTAGTAGCAGTAGTAGTAGTAGTAGCAGTAGCAGTAGTAGTAGTAGTAGTAGTAGTAGTAGTAGTATTAGTAGTAGTAGTAGTAGAAAGAATAATACTGGTAGTCGTGATCGTAAAAGTAGTAGTAGTAGTAGTAGTAGTAGCAGTAGTAGTAGAAATAGTAGTAGTAGTACTAGTAGTAGTAGAAGAAGTAGTAGTAGTAGTAGTCGTAGTAGTAGCCGTAGTCGTGGTCAACTAGTAGTCGTGGTAGTGGAAGTAGTAGTAGTAGTAGCAGTAGTAGTAGTAGAAGTAACATTAATACTCGTAGTAGTAGTAGTGGTAATAGTCGTAGGCGTAGTAGTAGTAGTAGTAGTAGTAGTAGTAGTAGTAGTAGTAGTAGTAGTAGTAGTAGTAGTAGTAGTAGTAGTAATAGTAGTAGTAGTAGTAGTAGTAGTAGTAGTAGTAGTAGCAATATTAGTAGTAGTAGTAGTAGTAGTAGTAGTAGTAGTGGTAGTAGCCGTAATGGTAACAGTAGTAGTAGTAGTAGTAGTAGTAGTAGTAGCAATGGCAGTAGTAGTAGTAGTCGTAGTAGTACTAACAGTAGCCGGAATAGTACTGGTGGTAGTAGTCGTAATAGGCATGAAAATAATCGCCATCGTACTCGTAAAATTCAATGTAAAAACAGCGTAATAGTCGTAGTCGGAGTAACAGTGGTAGTCGTAGTAATACTCGCATTCAGAGAAATAGTGGTAGTAATAATACTAGTAGCAGCAATAATAATAGTAGTCGTCGTCGTGGCAGGAGTAGTCGCAGTAGTAGACATAGTCGCACTATTTGTAGTTGATTGTAGTAATCTAAGTAGTAGTAGTAGCAGAAGTACCAGTGTGGTGATGGTATTGGTAATGCTTATAAACGCAGAGACAATAATAATCGAAATGGTCGTGGTAATAGTACTTGTAGTAGTTGTAAAAGTCGTAGCCGCACTAATAATCGTAGTCGTAGGAACAATAGTCGCAATAGAAGCCGGAGTGCTAGTCGTAGCCGTAGTCGTGTGAGTAGTACGTATTACAACTGGTAGAACATTTGGAATGGTGAAGACAATGTAAATTAGCAGAAATTGGTGAATGAATTCAATAGTTGGAAAAATTAGCCTGGCGAAGGACCCAACCATATGCAGTTGCCAGTACCGCAGCTGCGGGTTTCATCTTCAATGGAACTCCCCGTAGGATTACGGAACGTGTGAAGGGTGTGCCGAGATGGGTGCCACTGGGGCATTCGGCGAAGCTCCCTATGGGGACATGAAACACGCGCGGGGCGTGCCGACATGGGTGGCGGAAGCGCATGTGCGGGCCGCCACTGGGGCCTCCAGTGGAGCTCCCTATGACCCGAAACATGATGCTGCCGCCGGGGGGCCTGCTGCGGGATGGCCCGCGCCGCTAAACGCATCTGCTCGGTGGAGGGGGGACGGGATGGGTGGCGGAGACGCATGTAAGCGCCGCTACTGGGGCCTTCGGTGGAGCTCCCTATGGGGCCACGAAGCGCGTGAGGGGTGTACTGGGATGTGTGGCGGGGACGCATGTGAGCGCCGCCACTGGGGCCTTCGGTGCAGCTCTCTATGGGGCCACGAAACGTGTGAGGGGTGTGCCGAATTGGGTGCGGGTGGTGACGCATGCGGGCGGCAGCACTGGGGCCTTCGGTGGAGCTCCCATGGGGCCACGAAACCTGTTGTTGTGAGGGGCGTGCCGGGATGGGTGGCGGGGGCGCATGTGAGCGCGGCCGCTGGGGCCTTCGGTGGAGCTCCCTATGGGGCCACGAAGCGTGTGAGGGGTGTGCCGAATTGGGTGGGTGTGGGTGACGCATGTGAGCGCCGCCGCTGGGGCCTCCGGTGGATGATGGGGCCACGAAACCTGTCAGGGATGTGCCGAAATGGGTGTGCGGGACGCATGCGCATGTGAGCGCCGCCACTGGGGCCTTCGGTGGAGCTCCCTATGGAGCCACGAAACGTGTGAGGGGTGTGCCGAAATGGGTGTGGGTGACGCATGCGGGCGCGGGCACTGGGGCCTTCGGTGGAGCTCCCTATGGAGCCACGAAACGTGTGAGGGGTGTGCCGAAATGGGTGTGGGTGACGCATGCGGGCGCGGGCACTGGGGCCTTCGGTGGAGCTCCCTATGGGGCCACGAAACGTGTGAGGGGTGTGCCGAAATGGGTGTGGTGACGCATGCGGGCGCGGGCACTGGGGCCTTCGGTGGAGCTCCCTATGGGGCCACGAAACGTGTGAGGGGTGTGCCGAAATGGGTGTGGGTGACGCATGCGGGCGCGGGCACTGGGGCCTTC